CGACTGACAGACCGACCGACTAACAGACGGAACGATTGACAGACCGACCGACAGACAGACTGATCGACAGATAGACTGACAGACCGACCGACTGACAGACGGACCTATAAGCAGACCACCCGAACGACCGATTGATTGACTGTCCGAGCTGGCCACCGGCACTGGTTGCTGCATGGAAGAGGATGCAAATGTGTGCTTCAGGTCACGAGTTGCAAGACCAATCGCGATGCCATCCCACCTATTCTCTCAGTCTCCACCTCACCACGACACTACCTCATAAATGCCACTTAAGGTTAACCCTCCATCGTTCGGCTCTCCCGAACGCACTTTACCCAACCGACACACAAATCTACCAGTCGGCCATACAGCTGCACACACATTCAAACACACACACCCACACACACATGGATACATGCACAATAGGGGATCAAAAACTGGTGACCGGATCGTCTCGGAGTCGAGCCCTCTTGAGCCAATGAGTGGAGCAAAGAAGGGTCAAACAATTGTTGGCTCGTCCGAGCCGCGGAGCAAGTGAGCCCGCAGAAGGGCCCTTTTTGCGGGGCCATCCGATGACGTTTGGTACCACCGAGTGTGCGACTGGCCAGACTGGCCGGCAGACACAACTGTACCATGTGAAGCAGATCAAGTGCTCGTGAACGGCCATCTTCTCTGACACAAGTGCACAGCTGTAGACAGCAGATAAGAGCGCCAACTTGGTGTGGCTTTGGGTCTGGTCGAGGTCGCCGCTAAATGGTTGTGTGACTGTTTGACCTCGTTCACGCACCGGCAGGGCGCTGTTGTGAAACACACACGCACACACACACACACACACACACACACACATGAAGATTGGCCGCATCGAAGGCCTGATCCGCTACATTCCCGCACGTTTGGCCGGTACCAAAGTGCCGCTAAAACGTCTGCCAACGCACCATGTCGCCAGTCCGAAGCTGGAAATGCTCATCACTTTCATGACAGACTACGCAGGATTGACTGTCTTCCAAACAGTCTCCTCATCGCACCGAATAATTTGCCAAAATGAGGCTAAATCAACACAAACCGACAAGGTAGAAGGCTCACGCATTTTCAGAGTATTATATCACACTACTTATATTGGTGGTGAGTAGGCATCGAAGGTAACAATACGTCTTGGATGAGAACTGTATCCAGCCTAGGCGGCGTGAGATGATATGGGAATAGTTGAGA